GAGTACAAGTAAGAACAATATGCCTGAATGGCCTCTAATCATTTTACAAGTAAATTATTTACTAATTTCAGAACTTTATTGCTAACAAATTACTAGATTGAGTGGTATAGTACTGAAATAAAAATCTACAACCCAAAGATTAATCTTGAAAGTGAACTAAAGTAGGTAATTTAATTGCTTTGAAGCCTTGCTTCTCCTTTAAAATAGACATTTCTATTTATTTTTGAGATTCTGCATCTCTCTACTAAAGTACACAGAATTATCATTCTAAATAATTTTGAAAAGTTTCTTAAACTCTATTTTTACTTCCAGATTTGTTCTCAAAACTATTGCCTTGTTTCTATTTGACTTTTTCATTATACCTACGAACGTCACTTGTTTACATTCAAATGAGTGAAATAAGTGCTGAGAAACCAGTACTTTTTTCTGTTTTGAGGGTTTTTTTCCTGTGTATCTCCCTAGGCTCATTAGTCACATTTGGTCAGTGTGATAGTTTCCGTTCTGACACTCTCAGTAAACGCTCCTGTGCCTGCCTGTCCAACCCTGCAAGCCCTGTCATGCTGGTGATGGATTCCAGTCTGCGCTGCTGCTAGCAACCAAATACTCCCCTCCTGCCTTTCCTAGCCATTGCTATTTCCCGTATCTTTCCATGCATTCCCATAAACAAATCTGGGGATGAAATCAAAGCCAGACATTTATTCTGTAAAAAAAAATTACAGAAAATGTAGTTTGGTAGATAAAATCAAATACCCAAGTGTCACATTCGAGTAATGAATGCTTCCTCTGTCCATTACAGAGGGACAGGGGAGGGAGAGAGAGGTGATTTTCTATATTGCTGGTTTTCTTCCTTTGTTACTCCTGCAAGGGAAGGAGCCTTAAAGAAGAATACAGAAATGTTCTCAGCTTGCCTTCAATTTTTCCCTGTTCAGGCAGTCTTAGCAAGGCACATCCTTGATAAAATTGTGAGGTAGGGGAATTTTGTCCAGAGTGAATTGGGCTTC